TATTAAATATACATTTTTATCATAAATTTATATTAAAAAAATAAAAATCAATTCTTAATTTATCAACTATCTAATTAAATTCACATATTTAATATTAACATTAAAATTAATATTAATTTATATATATCTTTATATATTTATAATAAAAAATATTTTTAACCTCTATTTTAAGAACCTAAGTTAGAAAAACATTTATTATTACTAGAGTTAGAAAAGTAAAAAAATATCAAACTATTTAATGAGTTATTCTACCATCAATTAATATATTACAACTATATATATATATTTAAATTGTGCAGTACATTTTTTGCTGCACTTTTCTTTACATGAACACTTGGAATGTTGTTGTTTTTCTTTTCTTCTTCTTCTTTTTCTTCTTCCTTTTTTCTAGCCATTTCTTGCAAGGTTTCCATTTCCTTTTTTAAAGTAATTAATAACTAATAATAATTAATAAGAAACAAAAAAAAAATGTAGAATTTTGAAAAAAAATATAAAGTAAGGGTAAAATAGATAATTTTATTAAAATAATATGGTATTAACTATTTACGGTGTGACAATAATCTCATTTCTTTTGTATTATTTTTTAAAATTTTATTAATACAATTTCACAAAATTTAAATAGTGATTATATAATATTTGTAAAATTAAAGTATGAAGCTTTATTTTTTTAACAATATTAAAGTTATTTATGTAGAGAGAGTTAAGTATGAAAAAATAATAATGTCAATAAAAAAATCTTGAATTTAGATACATACAAAATTAAGCATTAAATAGTCCTCTTTTTTGCCTTTTATGATGTGATGTTATTATCACACATTCAATTATTAATGCTATACTTTTTTTTTAATTAACTATTATATTTATAATTTATTAAGAAATAAAAAAAATGTAGAATTAAAAAAAAAAACAATGTAAGGGTATAATAGGTAATTAAATTAAAATGATGTGGTATTAACTATGTAATACCCCAAAATTTCCTAGAGCATTAAAGTTGAGTTAGGGACCAAATTGTGAGGAAACGTTCTTATGGACCTAATAGTCAAAGTTTCGAATTTTAAAAGGGTAAAATCTTTTTGGATAAGGCGGGCTGACTCATTTCCTTTTTTTCCTTTTTCTTTTTCTTTCTTTCTTTCTTTCTTTCCAACCATTTTCGCGTCTGCTCTGTTTTCTTTTCTCCCTGCAGCCGAACATCACCAGCCATTTCCAGCGCCTCCACCTGAAAAATTGGTAAGAGAACTTGATGATTTTTGTTCTCCTCTTGCCCAAGAACAAGTCTAGGACTTAGAAATCCTCTCTCTTGCAGAGAAGCCACCGGATCTGCTGTCTTCTCCCTTCCCCTGCCGCCGGCTGTTGCTGGGTACAAGTCTTGGTTTTTTTGGTAAAATCAGCCCATAAACTCCTCTTTTCAGCCTTAATTTATGTGGGTTCATCTTAATTTTGTTCTATCAATTGCTAGAAGTCTGCGTGAAGCTCCTCCAATTCCCGTCGGTCCTCCCATACCCGTTGGCTCCAACTTTGCTTGTTGGGAATTTTTGGTAAGTTAGCTTCTTTAGTCTCCGAGAATTGGTTGATTAAGTGTTGATTTGTGAGTTTAAGTGTGTTTGGGCAGCTTCACAATCCAACACTGTTGAAGTCCTTAGCTGCTTCCACACCTGAAAATCCCGAGGTTGTTTCTTCGGGGAAAACACTCCAACGCTCAAGTCAGCAATACTCAATGGTTTAGAGAGAGAAGCTCTCAAGGAGTAATTGCGGAGAGAGAAGCGTAGAGATTAATTACCTTCATCGGAGGTAGTTGGGGGGTATTTATAGCCCCTTGGTGCTGACATACATCTACACGCGTAAGCAGCCCATTGGCCCTCGTGATGCTGGTCACGTGGGTATGCTTGTACCGATGCTCCTTCAGCTTGGGCTAATAGGTGGTACTCTAGGCCCGTTATGCATAGTCCTGTTTGGGCGTTGGGCCTGCTTGGCCTATTCCAACATTACTCCCCCCTAGTGTTCGGTTGACGAACTGGGATGTGTGTAGCCACGGGGCAGCGTTGTTGGGCCTATTCCATTCCAAACGGATTTAACAGCTTGCGGCCGACCTCGACAAGGGGCGAGCTGAAAGGTAAAACTAAAAGAGGCGAGCTTGCAAGCTTGAAAACGTGGGGGCGAGCTGGTATTCACGGCCACATTAGTGTGGGCCGGTCATGGCGGCGAGCTGAAGTGATTCGCAACAAACGAGCTCGTTCGGGGACCATCCATGCTTGTAACACCCGATCAGCTCGTCTTTGTGACGACCTGAGCTTGGAGCACCACCGAAGTGCGACCAGAAGGCGCGACCCCACATTTAGGGCGACTTGAGTTTTTTGACCACCAATTTGTCATCCCGCACGAGTGGTGCTGCGAAATGGGGCGACCTGAGGTACCCATTGATTTACACAAAAGCTTGTAGCCTGTGTGAGCTGCAATCCGTGTACCGACCTGACAAATGTGGCTGTCGCCACAATATGTGACGAGCTGAATCTTGGGGAATTTTAGCAAAAGATCCACACTTTTGAACGAATTGTCACGGGTGAACCGATCTGGCACAATGTCATGTTTGTAACGACCTGGTAGGTGTGCTCACAATGGCGAGCTGATGTGACAGTATAGGGTACACATCAGCAGTGACGATCTGGTCTTCCCCGTCATAAATGCTGGCTCAGCATTTGAGGGACGTGACAGCTAAAGTCGGCGCACGTTATGCAGAAGGGACATTAAGCGTGTGCCACGTGTATGACGCGAATTGGCGCGTCAGAAACACGCGTACAACCATTAAGACTGCCCTATTTCCCTTTGTATAACCGTTTCTTTTTCCATTTTCACTCTTGCATTTGCTTGAAACCTTCTGAAATTCTCTGAAGCGAGGCGACTCCAGTCTTGAAGAACAGCACACCGAACCAGTTTCATTTCATTTTCAGGTAAAATGGTTTCATTGAGAGAGCTTACAGAGCAACGAGGTAACCAGGGCAGAGAAGGAGAGGAGGAAGGGGTTTTGGCCGTGGAGCCTATCACTATGATAGTGCCACCGGAGTTGCAGGATGTACCGGAAACAATGGCGTCTGAGAGCAGCGCCAGTTCCAGCGCCAGCGACAACGATGGCAACCACCCTAGTGCACCGTCAAGCAGCTCGTCTACTGAAGAGACACCCAGCCGTGAAGAAGGGATGGGGGATGTGGTGAGCAATGTCTCAGATCGGCCGGTGATTGGGGAATGGGAGGGCGTGACGATCCCGGGCAGGTTGAGCAACCTGCGAAAAGCACCGAAGGGTCTGCCCGCTGGATTCAGGTTCAAGGCTGTACTTCACCACGAAGTGGCAGACTGTGCGCCCTCCATAAGTGGGTATAAACGACTGGAGGAAATGGTGAGGGCGTACCAAATCCCCAAGACCATATTGCTGCGGACAGGCAGGCAGAACGAAAGAGCGTGCACCGTGTCACAGACGGGCTGGATACCAGTGTACGTGGATCACTTTGACGCCGGCCTGCGATTTCCCCTGCCCGGATTGGTGTTCGACCTACTGGCGGAGTACGAGCTGGCGCTAACGCAGCTGACGCCCAACAGCATAAGGTTCATTATTGGCTTTATGCTGTTGTGTGCGCAACTAGAGGTGCCGGCCAAGGCTATCGTGTTCAGGTCGCTATTTCAGTGCCGGCTGTGTCCTAACTCCAGAGGCGCTAAGTGGTACTACCTCTCCGGGAGAGACAAAAGCCAACTGTTCAAGAACGTCAGGAATAAAGTAGCGAGGTGGAAGAGGCAATTCGTATTTGTTCGCGATACGCGAACAGAGAGGATAAGCAACGACCTCGCTGCCCAGCTGTCAGAATGGCGCACGCCAAGCGTCCATATTAATTACCCCCAGCTGCTGCCCCGGGACGTCGATCTGAAGAACCAGCTGCTTGAGTATGCACAGAGGGAGGGTCTGATAGATTTAGAAGCCCTGGTTACCTCGGAGCAGCTCGCCTTGTTCGGGTTTGTCGATGTGACAAACCTGTTCGCAGAAGGTATATTTTTATTAGATAGTACGAATTCTAGCCGAGCTGAGTCTTATGCATTTTTTTGTGCAGGAGAAATGAGCAGCATCTTGGAACGCCAGCGTCAACGAGCTCAGAGTTCGCGAGGCCGCGGGGCGAGCAGCACCTCGCAAAGGCAAACGCGGTTCGATGAGCGGCCGCCCCCAGCTCCTCAGTCGCGCAATTCGTCCCAGCGTGGATCCAGCTCAGCCTCTAGGCCGCGAGCTGATCAGAGGGTCGAGGTGGCAGCTCCCAGCGCCCGTAGGCGCGCACGCGAGGAGACAGAAAGCGAGGAAGACAAGCTGCCCCTTGCTCGGCGCAGAACAAGCGGAGGGGCTCAGCCTGCACAGGTGGCTCGTCCCGCGACCGTGCGTTCACCAAACGCGTCGTCATCGTCTGTGCGGGCAGCGGCAGAGCTTGCTTCCTCAACAGCCTCCGCGTCGGGCCCCAGGATTGCTTATCCTGAAGGCTTCAGCTATATACGAGCGGAGTGCCAGCCCGCCATGGTGCAAGCCATGCACAGTTTCGTGCCACCCCTGGATAGCAAGCGGGCAAAGGCCTTTGTGCAGCAGCATGGCGGGCAGGTCGCCATGATAAAATTGATGGACGTAAGTATCTGCTCGTACCTGCTTAAACATTTTGCTTTTCTTTTTAGAAACTAACAGTGACAACTGTTTGGCAGGCGTTCAGCTACGCGGTAGCACTGTACGAGAGCAAGCAGGCGGCTCGTACAGAGAACAGCGAACTAGGTTCGAAGTGCAAACAGTTGGCTGCTGAGAAGGCCAGCCTTGTGGACGATGTGAATCGTCTGCAAGGTTCTGAAATGGCGAACCGAGCTGCGGCTGCTGAGAGCAAGGCGGACGAGCTCGCCACCAGGAACAATGAGCTCATGGAGGAGTTACATCGAGCTCGAGCTGAAAAAGAGAGCGGCATCCAGGTAGCCAAGGATGAGACCGCCAGGGCCGAGGAGCGAGCTAAGAAGGCCAAGGTCGATAGGGACCACGCTCAACGCGAGCTGGGTTCCCTTAGACATCAGGTTGCCGAGGCTGACAAAAACCTCTCTGCTGCAGAGGAGGCGCTGACCAACCTGAGGGCATCCCATGTGCGCTCTGTCAGCATTGCTCGAGCCCAAGGAGCAGAATGGCTGGTCGGCTCGCCTGCGTTCCAAGACGCAGTGGCGATGGCGTCTGCTAACATGACCACAGAGATCTACAACGAGATCCGTGGTAAAGTGCTGCACCACCGCCCTGACTTCCCCATCCGCGAGCTGGCGTTCTTCGATGGGGAAAATATCGATGAGCAAGGTAAGAGCCTTGCTCCCCTGGCCGACATGACGGTGCGGTTGAGATGGGATCTCAACGAGGAGGAGGTTCTCGTCTGGCCTCCCTCTGTTGTAGAAGAGGGGGAGGACCCTGCGAGGCTGCCTTCCTTTGACGGATGGGTGGAAGGGGCTCCTGTTGCTGAGCAGGAGCCATCCAGTACTCCACCTGACTCTCAGCCCGCCGAGGTGCCAGCTCGATCTCCCGCTACGGCACCAGCTTCTGAAGTCGCTGCTCGCTCGCCACCAAGTCGCTCCTCTCCGCCTGCAGCTGACGCGTCCATGCCCGTCGATTTGACGGATGATTAGACTTAGGACGTTTTCTTTTATTCCATTGTATTTTCTTTTGCATTTTGTATTTGATCAATGAATTCATAGCATGTACCTTCAATGTAAATGTCTTTGATGAAATACAAAATGAACTTTTCTTCGAATTTGCGTTGTATTTTCGGTATATCGTTGTTTACAACTGATCAGTAACGACTTGAACACTAATGACATATATGCTAACTGTAAAACTTCCTAAGATTATGTATGTTCCAAATATAAGGTAACTGACGTCCTTGTATATTTGCTAACACGTAAGACCCAGGTCGCTTAATTTGAACAACCACATAGGGGCCTTCCCAATTAGGAGCGAGCTTGCCCATGTGCGAGTAAGTGTTTGTCAATCCAGCTTTGCGTAGAACCAGGTCACCAACTTGAAACTGGCGAGCTCGAACCCTTTTATTGTAAAATTTTGCAACACGATTTTGATGTGCCATGTTTCTTATTCGTGACATCTCCCTGATTTCTTCCACAAAGTCCAGGTTCTCCCTTAAGAGTTGTTCATTACTCTGATTGTCATGGCGATCTGATCTATCGGATGGCAATCCCACTTCCACTGGGATGACGGCCTCAGCTCCATAGGTCAGGCTGAAAGGGGTTTCGCCTGTGGCCGAGCTGGGTGTGGTACGACAAGACCAAAGCACTTTATTGAGCTCGTCAACCCAATTAGAATGTGTAGCCAACCCACTCGTGCCTTGAGGCCTCGCAAGACGAGTTTATTGGCGGACTCGGCTTGCCCATTGGACTGTGGAGTGTACACAGATGTCAAGGCGAGCTCAATGCCATAATCGTTGCAAAACGATCTCAACGCCGCTGCTCGGAACTGCGGCCCATTGTCGGCGATAATCCGCTTAGGTATGCCGAACCTGCGCACAGATTAGCGAGCTGAGCTACAAATTACGTTTGCATATATTTTATGACCTCGGTCACCAAAGAATACCTGCACAATATTGAATTGAACAAGAATTCTTCTATTTTTCTTTCTGTTGTGGTGGATAATGGTTTAGCTTCTATCCACTTAGTGAAGTAATCCACTGCGACGACTAGGAAAGTGCAGCCTCCTTTGCCTTTGATGAAGGGGTCGAGCAGGTCAACACCCCATTGAGCGAAGGGCCAGGGAGACGTAAGAGATGACAGCATTTCCCCTGTTTAAAGGAAGGCACTCATGCTCAGTTCAGAGACAGTCACTAAGTTAGCATAAACTATAGGACGAGCTCGGGTACCTGGCATGTGAATATCATCAGCATTGAACTGGCAGGTCGGGCACTTTTTGACATAATTCTGTGCGTCCTCGACCATAGTGGGCCAGTAATAACCATGCCTTAGGAGCTTCTGGGCTAAGGTTCTGCCGCCGATGTGCGTGCCACAAACTCCCTCGTGAACTTCTCTCACGGCATATTCGGCTTCATAAGGAGTAAGGCAGCGTAAGAGGGGCATTGAGGCTGCACGTTTGTAGAGGTGGTTATCTAACAAAGTGAAATGTGCTGCCCTTCGTTTAATCGATTTTGCAGTGGACAGATCTTCAGGCAACTCGCCACTTTGCAGATAATTTATGAGTGGTGTAGTCTAGCTCGGTGTGGAGGGATCTGTACTGAGTAGTTGACAGTCGACTGTGAAATCAGTGTAACTTGGTGCGTCAAGCACCTCGACGATTGTTGATCTTCGAGGGTTAATGTCCTGCGAGGAGGCTAACTTTGACAGCTCATCAGCTCGGTGGTTATCTGCCCGCGGTATTTTGTCGATCTGAAATGAAGCGAATCTTGACTTCAATCTGTTGACCACAGAGGCATAACGGCCGAGCTGGAGATCCCTGATGTCGCAACTGCCATTCACCTGGCGGACGACGAGCTGAGAGTCGCTGAAGACCTGAATGCTTTGTACCTTCAGCTCGGCCGCCAGCTTCAATCCATATATGAGGGCTTCATATTCTGCAGCATTATTGATCGTCTGAAACTTAAACCTTAGTGCGTGCTCAGACTTGAAGCCATCAAGGCCCAGTAACACAGCTCCAGCACCTGATCCTTCGACATTAGCAGCTCCATCTACATACAAAACCCAAACTGGGTATTCAGATACCTTTTCTTTAACAGCCGCCGGGGCACATTCAACTAGGAAGTCTGCCACAGCTTGGCCTTTTATAGTCGTGCGCGGTTGAAATTTAAGGTCATACTCACTCAGTTCGACACTCCATCCGATGAGCCGACCAGAGAGCTCCGGTTTTTGCAATATCCTCCTCAACGGCAAATCGGTATAGACAATAATCTGGTGTGATTGAAAGTAGGCTCTCAACTTACGAGCTGTGTAAACCAGGGCAAAAGCAGCCTTTTCCGCTAGTGGGTAGTTCTGCTCGGCACCCTGTAAGACTTTGCTTACATAACAGATAGGCTTCTGGTTCTTATTCTCTTCCCTGAGTAGGACCGAGCTAATCGCCTCTGCTGTAACCCCTAAATACAGATACAAACTCTCCCCTTCCATAGGCTTGGACAACAGAGGTGCTGACGCCAAGTATCGTTTGAGCTCGTCAAAGGCTTACTGACACGTATCGGTCCATTGAAAACTTTTGGGCTCTTGCAGGGCCCTGAAGAACGGAAGGCATCTTTCTGCCGACCTGGCTACAAACCTGTGCAGCGCAGCAATATGGCCCGTCAAACGCTGCACGTCTTTGATAGTCCTTGGCGGCTCCATTTGCTGAATGGCCTCAACCTTCTCTGGATTTACTTCTATTCCTTTCTGGGATACCACGTATCCTAGGAATTTTCCTGATTCTACAGCGAACGTGCACTTCAGAGGGTTCAGCTTCATTTGAGCTCGACGCAAATTCTGAAAGGTTTCACTCAGGTCGTCTATATGGTCCTCAGCTCGCACGCTGGTGACTATCATGTCATCCACATACACTTCTATGTTTCTGCCAATCTGGAGCTTGAAGACGATTTGTACTAGCTTCTGATATGTAGCGCCAGCATTTTTCAAGCCAAATGGCATCATCACATAGCAATAGATAGCGTCCCCTGCGTAGAAAGCTGTTTTCTCTTGGTCATCCAACAGCAACTGAACCTGGTGATAGCCCGAGCTGGCGTCAAGAAAACTCATCCGTTCATGTCCAGCTGCCCGCTCCACTAACTTCTCGACGTTTGGCAAAGGATAAGGGTCTTTTGGACACGCATCATTAAGGTTGGTGAAGTCAATACACATCCTCCACTTGCCATTTGGCTTTTTGACGAGCACAGGGTTGGACACCCACTCAGAGTACTCCACTCTTCTAATGAAGCCTGCCTGTAACAGCTTTTGTATCTCCTCGTCTATGGCAGCTTGTTTCTCTGGGCCAAAAAGGCGACGTTTCTGCACCACCAGCCTTTTGGTAGGATCTGTGCTGAGTTTGTGGACTGTTAACTCTGCCGGGATGCCAGGCATTTCATCAGTAGTCCATGCGAACACATCTTGATTGACCCTCAAGAACTCCAGAAGCTCTGCTCGTTCTTCTT